GGTGGTGATTACCAGGGTTTGGTTGGATGGGGGGTAGTGTTGGGGAGATGTTGGTTAAATGATATAAAATTAGTTAGATAAGAAAAGTAACTTCAAGAGGTATATTACACAGCATGATGACTATCTTTGATAATATATTGTATTCTTAAAAAGTGCTAAGAAGTTGAATGTTAAATGTTCACACAACAAAAATAGGTAATGAATATTTTGGTTCAATATTAGCCATTCTAAAATGTGTAGACATTTCACAACATATTATTGTACATGATAAATACATAAAATCTTATCTATAATTTAAAATAAACTAATCTGATTAAAAGTAATTTATAATAATCTTTTTCTTTGGAGAGGCTGTATTCTAAGACCCTCAATAGATGCCTGAAATTGTGGGGAGTAAAAAACCCCAAATCTAATCACTTATAGACGGTGACCATAACTTTTGTAGCCAATTTCCATAAATTTCATTTTTACCATGGATCTTAGCAACTTCTTTCTCTATTATATATATAAAATGTAATGATGAAATATATATATATTATATTTTCTCTTTGTGCATTCTTCCGTAAATGTGAATTAAATTGTTTAACCAACTGGGTATCATATGTTATATGAATTATGCGGCAATGGCCACACTGAGTACAGTTATCTCTCTTTTGTTGTGGAGCTGTACTGTGGTTTGAGCTCAGGGCTTTGCACTTGCTAGGAAAATTTTCTACCACTTGATTCATTCTCTTTTTGATTTAGTCATTTTTCAGATATTTTGCTTTTTTTTGGCCTGGGCTAGCCCAAGACAGTGATTCTCCTACCTATATCTCCATTGTAGCTGGGATTATAGCCTTGAACCACCATACATAACTTATATGTTGAGAAAGTTTTTCACTCACTTTTTACCCAGTTGTTTTAGAACCACATCCTTCTGGTCTGTGCCTCCCATGTAGATATAGGAATGAGTCACTGCAACTGGTCCTATCTCTTAGGTTTTCTGATTTCAATTCTTTGAATAACACTTTGAAGTGGGATGTGTGCTTAATATGGTCATTCTATTTTTTAGTGTTTGATGAACCTCCATTCTGTTTTCTAAAGTGAATGCATCATTCCCACTGACAGCAATTATGGCTGCTGTGGTCAGCCTGATCCAAGACTGAATCTGTTTGTGGTGGTATGGATTTGAAGCAAACCTAACAGTCTGAAGCAGCTGAGTTGACCCAGTGGAGCTGTAGACCTGGAGACCAGGTCAATTGTGGAGTTGTGGAGATTTGGGTCAGTGGGTACTGTGTAGTGCTAGGTTTGACTGTGGCAAGCCAGTGTGGCAAGAGGCAAAGTCCAGTGCTTACTTGTCTTTCCCCCAGGCAGAGGTCATCTCTTTCTACACTGTGCTTCCTGGGGTTACAGAAGGGGAGATGTGTTATAAAACTTTCTTTCCTATTATCTTGCATGTGTTTTTTTTTTTTCATTTTTCTTTTATTATTCATATGTGCATACAGGGCTTGGTTCATTTCTCCCCCCTGCCCCAGCCCCCTCCCTTACCACCCACTCTGCCCCCTCCCTCTCCCCCCCACCCCCTCAATACCCAGCAGAAACTATTTTGCCCTTATCTCTAATTTTGTTGTAGAGAGAGTATAAGCAATAATAGGAAGGAACAAGGGGTTTTGCTGGTTGAGATAAGGATAGCTATACAGGGCATTGACTCACATTGATTTCCTGTGCGTGGGTGTTACCTTCTAGGTTAATTCTTTTTGATCTAACCTTTTCTCTAGTACCTGTTCCCCTTTTCCTATTGGCCTCAGTTGCTTTAAGGTATCTGCTTTAGTTTCTCTGCATTAAGGGCAACAAATGCTAGCTAGTTTTTTAGGTGTCTTACCTATCCTCACCCCTCCCTTGTGTGCTCTCGCTTTTATCATGTGCTCATAGTCCAATCCCCTTGTTGTGTTTGCCCTTGATCTAATGTCCACATATGAGGGAGAACATACGATTTTTGGTTTTTGGCCAGGCTAACCTCACTCAGAATGATGTTCTCCAATTCCATCCATTTACCAGCGAATGATAACATTTCGTTCTTCTTCATGGCTGCATAAAATTCCATTGTGTATAGATACCACATTTTCTTAATCCATTCGTCAGTGCTGGGCATCTTGGCTGTTTCCATAACTTGGCTATTGTGAATAGTGCCGCAATAAACATGGATGTGCAGGTGCCTCTGGAGTAACAGTCTTTTGGGTATATCCCCAAGAGTGGTATTGCTGGATCAAATGGTAGATCGATGTCTAGCTTTTTAAGTAGCCTCCAAATTTTTTTCCAGAGTGGTTGTACTAGTCTACATTCCCACCAACAGTGTAAGAGGGTTCCTTTTTCCCCGCATCCTCGCCAACACCTGTTGTTGGTGGTGTTGCTGATGATGGCTATTCTAACAGAGGTGAGGTGGAATCTTAGTGTGGTTTTAATTTGCATTTCCTTTATTGCTAGAGATGGTGAGCATTTTTTCATGTGTTTTCTGGCCATTTGAATTTCTTCTTTTGAGAAAGTTCTGTTTAGTTCACATGCCCATTTCTTTATTGGTTCATTAGTTTTGGGAGAATTTAGTTTTTTAAGTTCCCTGTATATTCTGGTTATCAGTCCTTTGTCTGATGTATAATTGGCAAATATTTTCTCCCACTCTGTGGGTGTTCTCTTCAGTTTAGAGACCATTTCTTTTGATGAACAGAAGCTTTTTAGTTTTATGAGGTCCCATTTATCTATGCTATCTCTCAGTTGCTGTGCTGCTTGGGTTTCATTGAGAAAGTTCTTACCTATACCTACTGACTCCAGAGTATTTCCTACTCTTTCTTGTATCAACTGAAGAGTTTGGGGTCTGATATTAAGATCCTTTGCATGTGTTTTATTTCTGGGCTAAACCCAGGTGCTATTAGCACTCACCTGTTTTCTTTAGCACTTGTGGAAGTAGTTTTGAACATGAACAATTGTTTAATCTGATGTTTATGAGTTGAAATAAACTTTGGAAAGTCCTATTCTCTGTCTTGCTGTTAGAAACTGGATATAATAATGAGGAAGTTTAAGAGTGAGAAAATGATTTTGCTTCAGTCCCTATTTTCCTGACAAATAGGATGCATATATTTCTGAGATTAAAGACATGTGCAGGACATCGTTAAAAGATGGAAAATTGGAACATATGATGTGAAGAAAGTGTGGGTAGAAGGACCTAAATATAAAAATGACAGAAGTATGTTTGAAAGCCTAGTTTACATTGGAGTTCATAACTTTTGTGGTTATCTTCTAGTGTATACTTGTACAATTTTCTTTAGTATTTATTTACACCTTAGATAAAGGGAAAAAGATGATATATAAATTTATGGTTAAAACATGTCAGATAGTGTAATGTGTTACACCAACCAGAAAAAAGGCTGTATATGGTATTGATTTTATGAATATTGCATTGTACACTTTTTGAAAATCAAGACAATTGTGAAAGTAATGTTAACTTATTCTGTCCTTAATACTGGTAAGACTTTTAAATGGTAAAATTCATTGATGTATTCATTATGGTCAGCTGAATTTTTCCTGGTAACAAATTAATTCTGAATTCTCAATGACTTAGCACATACAATTTTATTTCCTGTTCATCCCCTAGAGATTCTGTGGTCCTTGGGGTCAGTTATTCTTCATGTGGTTGCTCAGTAATCCAGCTTGTTTCCTCCATCTGGCCCCCTGCATCTCAATGTAAATCTTCTATCTTTGCTGCAGAAAGGAAAAGAAACCCAGGGAATATCACACTGGCTCCTAAAGGGTTCTGTTGGAATGCGACATATATCATTTCTTCATACAGTGCACCACTTAAAATTAAGTGGGCTCGATAATAAGGTGGAAATACATAGATGTTTCATGATTAGCAAATGGGTTAGCCACAGTTGAGGAAAACTTATCTCTTGTTGGGATGAATTGTTTCTAACCTGTCAATAGTAATTTGTATATAGTATATATTTATCATAAGGTGTAGGTGTGTTCAAATAGTATTTCAATATTCAGTTTTTATGAAGACAGAAATGAAGTTGTTAAGACTGACAGGTCTTTGTCCCTTATCTAAATATTTTTTGTTTCTTTTTGTAAATCTTGGGTTTTTTTCTTTCAAAGTTGTGCTTATTGTACATATAAAAATTCACTATCTCATTGATCTGTAATTCTTTACTCAAACTTGAAATTGCAGAATTTATGTCTTGAATACTCAACTGTCATCAACTCTCTTTTGTGTCTGCTACCTTTGTCTTTATTAACAATGATCTAAAAGAATGTAGAACAAGCTATTTTGGAGTTTAAGTGGTGTGTAGGATGTTTTTAACAGGAAAAGATTCCCACAATATGTCTTCTACCTGAGAAAGTGTGTCCAAAGTTGTTCTGGGGCTGTACCTGGAAGAATTTTATATCCTTCCTTGGATTTTAGGCAGAGAAAATAATTTAAGAAAGAGTAAGATTATCATGTAATTGATGTTGCTGGAGTTGCATAGTACAGCAGCACTAATTTTGTAATTTGGGAAGAACTCCTATTCCTCAAACCCCATTCATTTCTGTTTTTGCTCTGTTTCTCACAATAATAGGTCTAACTCGATTTCATTATTTTGAATTAAAACCATGCATTTCAAAAATATTTAAATAATAACCCTTTTTTTGCTAAAAGATTGCAGTTACTTGGCCTGTTACTTATATAACTTGTACCTGAAGTTTTGTGGAAATTTGTTTTAATGACCACATAAACTTCAGAGTTTTCCATATATTATGACATTTTATGCTGACTAGCAATAGCCTTTTGGTCACCAATTTGTAAATGCTAAGGAATTTCTAATGGGAAAAGTCTTCAGTCATCTATTCATCATTTATGAGAAGAACCACCAGTGATTTCAGAAAACAAGGATAACAATACACACCTAAATTCATATATTTTGACTTTAAGACCATTATGCTTTCCACTAGTCACTTTTGTTAAACATGAACATATTTTAATTTTTATCTTCTCAATCATGTGAATTATTACCTGATTTGGTTTTTTTGCTCCAGAGCTTCCTCATGGCATCTGTCACCTCTTTGTTTCTGAGGGTGTAGATTAAGGGGTTTAACATGGGCACTATCATAGTATAAAACACAGCAACTGATTTGTCAATAGGGAAGATGACCATTGGCCGAAGGTACACGAAGATACAGGGTATGAAGAGAAGGATGACTACGGTAACGTGGGAGGTGCAGGTGGAGAGAGCTTTCCGCTGTTCTTCAGTGCTGTGGGTCTTTAGGGAGCAGAGTATGAGGACATAGGAGGTGATTATAAGAGAAAAAATTAGAATACACATCAGCCCACTATTGGCGGCCACAAAGAGTCCATAAACATGTGTGTCTATGCAGGTGAGTTTTAAGAGAGGAATAAGGTCACAGATGAAATGGTCAATGACATTTGGGCCACAGAAGGGCAACCAGACCATAAAAAGAACTTGAATCAAAGCATGAAGAAACCCTCCAGCCCAGGCCATAGATACCAGGAGGCTACACATTCGCTTGTCCATTGTGATCATGTAGTGGAGGGGCCTGCAGATGGCCACATAGCGGTCATAGGCCATCACTGTGAGCAGGAGGATCTCAACTCCCCCAAAGAAATGTTCTGCAAAGAGCTGAGTCATGCACCCAGTAAAGGAGATAGTTTTATTTCCAGTGAGTAAGTCAAATATCATTTTTGGGGCCATAGTAGAAGAGCAGCAGCCATCTATGAGGGATAAGAAAGACAGAAAAAAATACATGGGGGAGCCCAGAGCCTGGGTTTTGGTGATTGTTACAATAATGAGCAGATTGCCTACCAGGGTGAGAAAGTAGATTGCTGAAAATACTACAAACAATAGTTTCTGCACATCTGGGTCCTGTGTCAGACCAAGCAGGATGAATTTTGTCACATTGGTCACTTGCTCCATGAAACCAGTTTGGCATTTGGATAACTGATTTATCTGTGAATAGCACAGGGATTGAAATTTTGGCAGACAAATTTTGAAGAAGCAAATAATTTCTGTATAGATTTTTTTCTTAACAATAATGAAAAGTATAAGCATAAAAACAGAACACTAAAAGTTGGGCCATATTATTGCTCATAGAATGAACTCATAGCCCTGTTCTTTTTCACACATGTATACAACACACACACACACACACACACACACACACACACACACATTCATTCATTTACACAAACATGATTTTATTATGTTGACATGTTGAAAACCTTCTTATAATTTATCATGGTGGTTATATTCTCCCCGAAATTGACATAGTATTTTTCTCACAGAAAATTGGAACAAAATAAGACCATACAGAGGAACTGAGAGTTGATCCTTGAGGGTCTATACCTTGCTTTCTCTTTAATAGTCACTAGTGCTGATGAGGCTTCAGGGAAGACATTGTTATTATTATCATTTTTAACATTATTTAGGGTGAATATAGAATCAGATGAGTTAAATTTGAAATTAGGAGTGATATATTCACATTTCAGAATCAACTGAACAGAGTGAATGTTTCAGGCTGAAGTAAGATACACCCTGGCTATTAAACATCTGAGCTCATGCCACATCCAATATAAAAAAATATGCATGAATGTAACCAAACAGCCCTGGAAGAACACATTCTGAAGAGAATAAAACAGACAGTGTGATGCAAGGCAACATTTCTCAGAATTATTTGAAACTTTAAAATTCTAGATTTGGAGAACTTCAGTCATGATTAGATTTCAGGTACATTTTAATAATCAAAACCCAATTTAATAATGTCTATGTGAAAAAAAGAAACAAGGAAAGACTATGAAATATTCTTTTTCAGAAAAGACACTTTTAAGCTAAAAAAACACTAGTTAATTGGATAGAGTTTGTTCTTTAGAGACAAGGAGACTACTTTTTCTTCCATTAATTACAATGCACATGGGGTTGTGTGCAGACTTTGGTCTTGTATCTCTTAACAATTCTCATATATGTTAAAAGGGTAATGATATTGAGAAATTCAAGAATATCACAACCATATATACCAAGGTTTATATTGTGAAGGTAAAACACATGGCTTTCCCATACTCCAGATTCTTAATAAAGGAACCAAAAATTTAAACACACATAATCATATTCTTGTCTTTGAGATATTTAACTGTTGTAAGAGTAGAGAAAACAAATGATCTAAGTACTTAACTCAAGAGGTAAAAATAGCCCAGTATATTCAGAAAAGTCTTTGGATGCAGAAAAAACACACTATTCAATAGAAAGAGATTAGAGTTGACAAATTTAGAAGCTTTTTGGTATTTCAAACATACATGCAAAACTAATGAACACAGATGAACTCACTAAGAAGCGTAGTGTCAAATCACAAAAGTATTATTTTCCAGGATATTTAGAGGACAATATTAAGCACAGTTCATAAAGGATTTTTGATAACTAGATAGACATTTTTCAAAACTGACTCTTCTCTCAATACTGTCACAGAAAAGACAAAAGGGAAATAGCACATATTTAAGATTTCTAATGAAACATAGATCTGTTTAAAAATAGAAAAAGAGATCAGTGTAAATCAATCTCTGGCTAGGGAAGAACATCTTAAGTGAAAACACACTGAAAGAAGACATGTGTAGAAATGATGAATTCAAGTACATAAAATATATTTACAGTAAGGAAAATATTTGCAACAGGTATGATGACTGTTGTTATGGAAATAGTTTTTTTTTAACAAAATAAAATGTTTACTTATACCATTATAAATAGAAGGTCAACACCAATAAAAATCTCAGAATAGACATTTAAAAATCCTCTCTATAATAAGTCACCAAAAGAAATGCAATTTTAAAGCAATGAAATACTTAAAACCTGGCAAATTGGCAAAGATTTATTAAATATGGGCTTCATACCTGGTCATGTTCTTTGGTCTGGTACTTCTTATTCTTACAGATCTATGCAATGAAAACATAGTTGAAATTACACGTATAGGTTCTATTTTCCAATATATTTTTGACAGTGAAAGTGTCAGAGTAATTCAGATGTCTACATGATAAGGAACAGTTAAATGAATTAGCATTTGAGATGTCAAGTGGACATTAAAGTTATTTATGAGAAGAACTAACAATGTAGAAAGATGCTTTCAATATTGTATGAGTGGAAAACACAAAAGATAAAATAGGCCATTTATTATGCCAAAATTAACTAAAATGTTACATATCTATGGAAAAATATTTAAAAAACAGATACTTAAGACTAATAATGCTTATCTGAATTATATGACTCAGAACCATTTTTGTGTTATTTAACTATTTTTTACCAGAATTTTATATAAAGGGAATATATTACTTTTATAGTCAGTAAAATAATTGAATAGAAACTTTTATTTTGTTTTCATGTTTGGATCTCTAATATCCTGAGTGACTTTTTCTTAGGTATGCTGGTCATTATTCAAAAAATCTTTGGCAGTAAAAACTTGCTTAAATCTTACTTGCCTGTGATTCAGAGGTCCTAGGATAATGCATATCATTAAGAGAATCACAGATTACAACTACCTCTTTGAATGGATTTGGGAGTAACAGATTCATCCCATTGCATGTGCATCTATTTTTAGCTTAATTTTGTTTCTTTTCCTCAATTAGTGACTTGAAAGGGTTGCTAACAGATACCTTCTAAGTAAAGGTGAGTTCATGGGCTAGGATCAGAGTTTATTTTGCCATTTAGGCTCACATGATCTTGTGAATGTGAGGCACAAGCATGCAAGTTCAGAAAATGAATTTTCAAAGCATTTGGCTTCAAAAAATTGGTGAAAAAGACCCCATTACTTTGGAGGACATCTCTCTCCAGGCTACCTTGATAAATTTGCCAGTTGAAATGACCAACTTAAGTGCATTATAAAAAAAAACACTAAATATGAGATCCTATCTGATTAAAAAACCCTGAAATAGCAAACTATGTAAGTAGAAGACTTTGGAATATTAAACTCCATGAAATCAGTATCACATGAAAGTTGTGTTTGAGTAGCAAGTCCCTGAGTTCAGATATTTTAAGCACTTTTCTCAGTAAATGAAGGCTCAGCCTGAAGATAATTCCTTTGGTTCCTAAAAGTCTAGATCCAAAATGGTTGGAAAATCAGAACCAAACAGCATCAGTAATCTGTGGCTCGTTACACTTGTGTGATCTTCCTGGGTCAGGAACCCTAAGAGTCAGTCCTTATCAACATTTACATGTGTAGATGCAGGAAATATTTAATAGATATCATGCAAAAAGGAAAGGAATTCTCTGACCTCTCAGAGGATTAGAATTATAGCTTTATCTCTCTCTTGTGACCATGACATCTGTGATGAAAGGCTGAGGGGAGAGTCAAGTATGCTGGGTTAGTAGCCTCTCTATGGCTTTAATTAGAAAATGATCACAGGAGTTGAGCAGTAAAGCACAATCTAATCATGGGAGTATGGATGTATGAGCCTGCCAGAGCATAAAACAACCCTAATACTTGTCTCACAGGATTATACGGAGTATTGAGCAAGAGAGCATGTGAAACATCTTAAGCAGTGGAAAACTTATATTAATGCCTCGAGGATAGACACATATAGACTAGAGAAACTGCTCTTTGATATTAAAAATCTTAATCATGCTTGTTATGGTTTTAATATCTAATAACCCTAGAAGCTTACTGTTGAACACTAAGCTTGTAGCACTATTTTGGAAAATTGTAAACACTTGAGGAATATGGAGGAAGTACGTCTCTGGGGGCATGCCTCTTAAGGTCATACTTGACCCATGGTCCCTGTCAGATTGCTCTGTTTTCTGTCTGCCAGGAGGAGAACATGAACACCTTTGCTACACACTCCTGTTGCCACAATGTTCTGCTCCAGTGCATAGGGCCAAGGAACCATGGACCGAACCCTCTGAAACAGGGAGCAAAATATACTTTTTTCTACTTCAAGTTGTTTATTTTTTTCCCCTTAAGTTGATTTTGGTAGGTATTTAGTCACATCATTTGAAAACCAACTAACACAGTCACTTTCAGCTTTCAAGGGCTAAGAAAATGTTTTCTCTAAACCACACTCCAGTAATGAAATTCATTCTCTTGGGGCTCACAGATGTCAGTCCAGTTCTAGATAGGATCTTATTTGGGGTTTCCCTGGTGGGTCTATCTGATCACACTGGTAGGAAATCTATCCATGATCATAGTGATCAGGACCTATTCTGCTTCCAACCACCTATATATTTCTTTCTTAGCCACCTGTCCTTTGTAGACATTTGCTATTTTTCCAATGTTACTCCACATATGCTGTACAGGCCTTAAGACCATTTCCTATGCTGGATGCTTCACACAGTGTCTTCTCTTCATAGCTCTGGTGGTTCACTGAGTTTTATATCCTTGCTTCCATGGCACTGGATCTCTATGTAGCCATTTGCAGCCCCTTGCATTACAGCACCATAATGCTCAAGAACATCTGCATCTCTCTGGTCACATTCCCTTATGTGTTAGGATTCAATAATGAGCTTTCTTAGGCATTGCTGACATTTCATTTATTCTTCTGTGTCTCCCTAGATGTCAATCATTTCTTCTGTGTTTACCCTTCTTTCATAATGCTGGCCTGCTCTGACACCCATGTCAAAAAGATGACAATGCGTGTAGATGCTGAATTTACTCTCTCAAGTTCTCTCTTGGTTTTCATTTTGGTTTTTTTTGCAGTCATCTTGAGGGTATGTTCTATTGAAGGCAGTCACAAAGCCTTTTCTACTTGTGGGTCACACCTGACAACAGTCACCATGTACGTTATGAAACAATTTTTGCATGTGCTTAAGGCTCCCATCAGATCCATCTGTAGAAGAGTCCAAAGTAATTGCAGTTTTTTATACTTTTTGATCCAAATGATATAATAAATTTCTGATCTGTTTTTTGTGTATCTGGTTATGGCTATGGTAGTAGGTAGTTTTAT